TTTCATCCAATTCATAATTTGCATTCAAGAAATGCAAAAATTCTTTTAGGATTTATTCCAAAATTTTGTTTTTTATTGCATTTTTATTTAAAGGTGGCGTTTTTCCTTTTATAATAAAACCTAATTTTGATGCATTTATTTCATTCAATAAAGTTGGAACGAAACACCAACGAAACATTCCGATTTTGAGGAGAAATTATTACGTACAACGAAAATATGAGTGGATTCCCATCAGCAATTAGGCTTAATCGGTGGAGATAGAATTATAACCTTAGAAACGAGCCAATAATATAGCTTCCCAGTAATATTCCATTCCCTAATGATTCGTCGGCAAGAAATTCAATGAAATTTTAAGCAAATACTTGAGCAGAAATTCGTGGAAAGCATGTGTTATATTTCGTGCATGTTTGAGGAATTCTTTCATCATTTCATTTTACTATCATTTTACTAAACTAGACAATCGATGAACTTCCTATAGCAGCAAAAAATTCGGTAGTATGTGCGAATTGCCCAAAAGCTCTTGTTGATCACATAGACCGCAAGATTTCAGACGGATATTTTGGGAGTGCACAGAATATTGGATATACGATTGGATTTTTTGCAGTGATTCGCGAAACCTATTTGCTCAAAGATCTGATCAGCGGCAACTAAAATATAGTTTTTGAAATGCAAAAACTCTTTGATTTCGAATACAGTTGGAAATTTTGTTGGTTCTAGTGAGGATGATCCATATTCATTGCTAATATTATAATATTAATATTTAATATTAATCAAATTTCCAGAGAATTTTTTTATGCCAACGTGAATAGTTTAAATATAAAAATAAAATAAAATAGAATAAAAAGCAAAAAAACTTAACTGGAGAAAAAATGCGAGATAATTTTGCATTTATTTTATATTTAATTCTGCTTTAGCTAAATGAATTGATTTCTTTTAAATTCCACCCCTAAGGCATAATCCTCGACGATCGGTTTCTTATTTTTTATGAATTTAGGGCAAAATGACCGAAATTTTGATAGAAAGCCAAAAATGATTTCATCTGGTTGCACGATAAAAATGCCTTAGGGAAAATTCATTGTTATGTAAAATGGGGTTCTTAAAAATTAATGTATCGTATTACTGCAAATATTTGTAATAGTTTTTAAAAAATTTTATGGGATTGTGGAAATGATTTTTTCTTTCACTTAATTAGGAGATGAGGTTTGTAGAATGACTCTTAGTGATATTCACTACAGGGAAATAGCTGAATTAGGCAAATTGTAAATTATCGTTATTAGAGAAAATGCTTATGGCCGCATGTTCGTTTCGCGAGTTTATCGGACACGACAAGTTATATCACAGGTTGGAACTAATTGGAATTTAAGTTAGAACTATTCGACTTTTGAAAATTGGTAAATTTTCTCCATTTGTAAATATTTCAGTTGTAAAGTTAAATTTGTTTTTTTCAATTTGATTGCTTTTTGTAAATTTCTTTATTAAGTTGCAGATTGTGTATATAAATAATAGTGGTGGCATTTTTTTGCAATTTTTTTAAATAAATGAGTATCGTCGCTTATATGAAAATAATTTTATTAGCTATATTAGCTATAAGTGCGTTCAAAAACTATTCAATTGAATTCAAAAGTGTTAATTTTCTCCTTCGGTTGTTTTTGTTGGATTTTTTTGATGAAATTGGCCGTACTTTGGATGCAAACAGTGATCGTAGGCTAATCTTTGGTTCTACTTGTGTCAGTCAACTATGTAAGGAAAGTAGTGAATTTAGCTTAAAAAATTTACTAGGTTTACTAGGTTTTGCATTGTTTGAAATGGCTTACCGCTTTTTCGAATGGAATTCCTTCACCATGGAAGCTGTTGAAGTGCCAAATGGATTTTGTTTAATGGATTTTGTTTTACGGCGACTAGCATAAACCTCTTTTTGGTTACAAAAATTTCTTTCGAGAAACAGTTGACGCTTAGAAGATATCTAATGAAGGCATTGGCTTAGAAGTGATGGGAAGGGGAAAAAAATGTTTTCTTGTGAAAAAATTGTTTCTTATCGTGAAAATCTGAATTTATTTTCAAAAATATTTAGCGAATTTGTCGGATTGTCATAGGAAATTAGGAAGTTATAGGAAGTTGAAAATTTTGAAAATTTTGTTCATTTTGATCCAATTTATTGGAAGAAATCGGTATAAAAAGGGTAACGCTGATTTGAAGCGTTTTCTGACGATAAATTTGGAAAAATTCAATATTCTTTTTATTTTTCATTAAAAATTTAATCAATTAGCGGTGCAAAAGGAGAAATGAATCGGCGCTCGAATTTGAAGACAAGTTTTAACATTATCAGTCAATTAATCAGTCTTAATTATTTATTTTTAATATATTTTTCAAATCCCCATCTATCAGAGGAATGCCATTTCTTTTGATTTGAACTCTAAAAACTGATTCAGCTTCAAACGGATGATTACAGTTGTTTGTCGCAAGAGATACTATAAACGATTTAGATTACCATGTTGAAAAGAAAGTTTCGTTTTACCAACAAAATTTTTAGAAGATCCGGATGGACCACTCAGTCATTTGTCTTTCTGCCGTCATTTCAATTTCTGACACTTTTTTTTTTAAGAGTCCTCACC